TGGTGATGGTGGTGATGATTGGTGGCGGTGATGATGATGATGATGATGATGATTGGTGGTGATGATGGTGATGATGGTGATGATGGTGATGATGGTGATGATTGGTGGTGATGATGATGATGATGGTGATGATTGGTGGTGATGATGATGGTGATGATGATGGTGATGATGATGATGATTGGTGGTGATGATGGTGATGATGATGATGATTGGTGGTAATGATGATGATGATTGGTGGTGATTATGATGATGATGATGGTGTGAATGATAATATTAATGATGATGATGATGATGATGATAATACACAAAATTATTTTTGCACTCTGAAAAACACAAATCTAGTATCTAGTTATTCTCTCTTTTTTTCTTTCGAGAATGCGGAGGAATCGAACAGCAAGCACAAGGAACGATGAGCCATCCACCTTATAATTACCGTTCTTGGTCTTTGAATTGCTGGTGGACGTTGAAAGCACCTTCTAAGATGGGAATGATTGTAATTTCCTTATATGTCTACTCTGAAGACTGCGGGTATGAAACCAGTTGTGTTATTTTCAAGAATGTCTTCCACGCAATACAACCTAGTCTCCCCCACAGCGAAAGCGTTGCGTGACGACACTGAAAGCGGCTGTGGGGGAGACTAAATACAACCAGGAGGCGGTGTTTCTTTTGTAGTTTTAACTACAAAACTACCTACTAGGGTATAAAGTGTCTTCTTGACTTTTTATTTAATCAACTAACACACACAAACACACAAAAAATGAAATTATATATAATAAAATTCAATAAGTTTAATGTAAACTAATAACATTATGCTAAAAAAAAATTTTTTTTTAAATAAAATTTATTTTTATTTTTCATCAGTTCATATTTTGCAGCTTTATTTAACAACGCAGATGAGATGGTTCACAGATTGTGCAAGACCCGAAGAGAGATATTTTTTGCCTATATTTCCTTTGGTACAGCCAAACTACAGTCCTACACAGCAAGACTGGTTTTTTTAGGAAGTAGTTTTGTTATGAAAGCAAAGTATTACATGTTTGAAAATGGCCTTGACGATGGTGAGTGAAAAATATTATTTCTCAATATGTTTTATGTGTAATTTTATAGTTATAAGTCTATTTATAGCCCAATTACGATCAAACATTATACTCCCCCAAATCAACTTTTTAGTTTAACTTTGCACTTCTAAGGCTAATAGTGGGCTTGGTTTCATTTGCAGGAACTGATGACTGATACTCGTTGCAGGTTTACTTAATATATTGCACTTATATCGCAATCATCAGTGCTGTAGTCAGTAAGATTCACTCTAGAGGTTTTGCACCATCACGTGCCCATTCCATAATACTGCTCGGGCTGCCTGTGGTTAGATGGCAGGACAATAAAATCCTTTTGCTCTTGAGAATTTAATTCTTTATCATCTAAAACGATTGTATTGTTCCTGCCATCTAACATGGCTGCCGTCACGTGGTAGTGCAAAACCTCTAGATCGACCAAAGAATCCGCACTGAAATCATTTATAGTGTTATTGTTGTTTGTATGTAGTATCTTGAAATCGAGGAAATGATTTGAATGTATTGCATTCTTTGAATAAATTCATATCAAACATCAATTGAAACATTCAGTATCACATAATGGAGTACGAGTGAGAAACGCCCAGGCTTTGCCTTGTACCATGCATCTGCGATTTTTTTTATCAAAACGACGTCAATCTGTAAATGGAGCTGTATCACTCTGTCTGTGCCAACAGTGGTGTCCTTCAAGGAACAACATTGGGTCCCATTCTGTTTTTGATCACGATTAACGATCTTGAATTAAAGTCTCACTAAAAATGCCCTTGGAAGTACGTTGACGACTTTAGCATGAATAGAAACCAGATTAGATAGTTTAACCGAAAATTATTTGTGACGTGATTCTTTATCAGAGTTAAAACTTTGTTAGTGGAACGGAAAGGATCTTATTAGAATGAGCTTTTTGAATTCCCCCGGAAATGATTCTGAATCTCAAGTAATCTAAATTCGACGCTGCCAATCCGACGCTGCAGCCAATCCGCCGCTGCAGCCAATCCGACGCTAGCTTCATTTTGGTCTCTTGGCATGTGTTTACGCTTCTTAAAATATGACGAGCGGTTCAGTCACATACTTTATTGAGACTCCCTTGACAGGGCTTTTCAGCATGAACTTCAAGTAAGGAAAAATCAGGCGGTTTTAATAGAAAGTATTATGCATTTCGTATTAAGTTTCGTTTGAAGTTATTCTACTTTGTCTTTGTAAGTATTATTTTGAGACGTGTCTGACAAGCAGTATTGCTTCCTTGACAACTTAAATCATACCTTGACCCCAGTACTATTCAGTTATGCCGACCCTGGATGACAGCATACGGTCTTGTCCTAATGAATCAAACGCAGTTCAAGATTGTGCAATGAAACTGCTCCGTGCGATGGAGAGGACTTTGCAGCTACTGTTTGTGGTTTTCTCGATTTCTCACTTCTGTAAAGGTATAGTATAAACGTAAAGCATTGTTATCATTTCTTCATACGCATTCAGCATTATTATTTTAACGTAAGCATGGATAACATTCTTGCGACTCTAAGTTTACCTTCCAGCTTAGAAATAGGAAACTTAGAGCGAAATAAGAAAAAGTAATCTCAACTTATGCTTTATGAAACAAAAAGATTTAGAGTAATAAAGTAAGCTACTAAGTTTTTGCAAGGTGGTCTAAGGTTTTTTGGTTTGAAAATTGAGTTTGAAGGGAGAATAAATTTCCTTGCAGGGCGAATTTTGAATGACGTCATTGCTATGTTTATTGAGCTTTTTAGAACAACTTCCGGGTCAAGAACAAAAGGCATAAAAAATCTTTTTCTATTAAAGATTTTTTCCATGACAAGATTTCTGGTCCGAAGTTTTAATGTTTCAGTTGAGAAATCATTGAGAATATTATTCGTGTTTTTTAAATGTATTCTAGGTCAAAATCCATATTGTCAGTATCCTCCCGCGTCCTTCTACCATTTTTTACTCTCACCTTACTACTAAACAGTGCATTCTGTAGTCTGTATTTGCCATCTCAGCACTAATTTTCTTCTTTTCTTGCATCTGACAGCAAATGTTCGCTTGGTCGGAGGTAATGCCACACAAGGTCGAGTAGAGGTTTTCTACAATGGTCAATGGGGAACAGTCTGTGATGACTATTGGGATCTCAACGATGCTAATGTTGTCTGTCGTTCACTGGGTCTACCAAGAGCAGTGGCTGCACTACGTCATGCAGCCTTTTGTCAAGGAACAGGACCAATTTGGATGGATGATATACACTGCAGTGGAAGTGAATCATCTTTGTTCCAGTGTCAGCACAGAGGATGGGGATCACATAACTGCGGACATTATAAAGATGCCAGTGTTGTATGCGAACTACCTACTATGCCACGTACGTAAGCTGAACTTATCCTTGATATAATTTCCCAAACCCGGTTAATTTGTCTTTTATTTCAAAAAGTAACCAGTTTTAGTTTTCTCATGTCAGTTTGTCTGTGTTGCACTCTATCCAATTTACTTCATAACTCAAATGTTATTGTTGGGCTAATATAACAACTGATGATGTTTCAATTCTCTTATGTCTAGTGGTTCAAGTGAAGATTACGAACCTTACTGGAGAGATCACTAGTACTGGATATCCATATTCGATGCACATGGCGTACTATGAGTGGACATTCTGGCCTCCCATACCACGAGCATATGTTTTTGTTAACATTACAGATATTGACTTGTTTCGCAGTAGTGGGTGAGAACAAACTGTCTAAGACTTGAGAACCCATCATTAACTTTATAATAACCTTTGCTGAATCTTTCTCAAGGGCGTAGTTACTAAAATTAGCGATTATACCGTTAACGCAGCTGCGTTAGGGTCTTCACGCAACGTTGAAAAAAAAAACGGTTCATGACGATGTGACAAATCTAACAACGTCAGCGTAGCGTCTAGGAATGACCCAAAACCGTTGTGGCGAAGGGCGAAGGGCGAAGGGCGAAGGGCGAAGGGCGAAGGGCGAAGGGCGAAGGGCGGGGTTGATCGTCGTATCTTTTAGGGGTGTAAATCGTCAGTCACCTGTTTGTTTTTTAGCACCAAAAAATTATCTCAAATGATTTATCAAGGCCAAGCCCAACCTCTCTCTGTTAGAGGATAAATTTATTTTTTTCAACGATCATCCTTTTTACATGGGAGTACCCCCCCCCCCTTCCCCTCCCGTCTTCTGGGCTTAATCTAATTAGAAACCTTTAAACTGTCTTGCAGATTTAGCTATCTCAAAGTTGAAGATGCGACAAATACTCAGTTTTTCTATGCGTGGAATAACACAGAGAGATCCGCATCTGCTCTCATTGAAACTACAACTGGAAAACTGACTTACTTTTCATCTTTCACCTCCAAACGTGGTTCAACGGGAAAAGGATTTCTTTTGAGATACCACACGTTCAGCATGCCTGAGAATGACCGTAAGCATTAATTAGGAGCCTAGATGGTCGTATTGGGATTTTCTTTATCATGTAATGATCCAAACCTATTTTATTTCAGAGGGATGCAACGAGAACTGGAACGTGTCCTTAATCCAGAATGATCCAGGAAGAATCAATGTCTCATGGTGTCCCGTACCATCTCATCTACCTGGTTCTACATATACCTACTTTCTTGTATTTAAAATGGTAAAAACTATCGAAAGTAATGTTACTACACTCAACGACAGTTCGAGGACAGCTAGGATTGAGTTTCTTCATCCAAACAGAACATATTCCATACGACTGGTAGCTTTTGACACGTCAGTCGATACAGTCATACACAGTTGTTCACAGCTAATAAAGACTCTTGACGGTGAGCAATTTCTTTAGGCTGTCTTATGCATTCGAAATTAATTCTAGAATTTGAGGCATTTTTTCCCTATTCGTGGGAGACAAACTCATAAACATAAATGAAAATATATTAACTTTTATAAAACATACATACATTTTTAACATTCACTCTTTCACTTAGTTCTCTTTTCCAAAAACGTTGGTTAATTTACAGTGTCACTACGCCTTGCTGGAGGTAAGCTTTCCAACGAAGGACGAGTTGAAGTCTTGTACCATGGAATATGGGGAAGCATATGTACATATAGGTGGGACTTGAATGATGGTAATGTTGTCTGTCGATCACTGGGTTTGCCTGCAGCTTCACAAGCAATGAGGTACGGCCAATTCGGCCGTGCATTAAGTGGAACAACATGGATGACTGAATTAAGCTGTTCAGGGAATGAGGAAAGCCTTGCCTTGTGCCCTCATCGAGGGTGGAGGAACATTCCTAGCTATTGCAGTGGTTCCTACTATACAGCGAGCGTTGTTTGTGGATACCCTCAAGGTTTGTAAAACTGAAATATTTCATGATTAGCGTCTCTCCAAACCATCGATCAACCATTCTCCAGAAAAATCACCAGCGCTCATGGAAGTTTTGATAAGGTTGTGTTATCTTCCGAATTTTTCCTCCATATTAGTTAGTAAAGGGGACTGCATCTCCCTCTACTAACTATGTCTATTCTCATTGCGTGTATCAATGATGAAAAATTCTTTATATTCTGAGCCAATGATTGAAAAAACCTTGGATATTATTAATGAGATTTTTAAACCCCTTGAAACACTTGCTTTGGTTCTATTAATGATACGACGGTCGTTGGGGTGGGGCCGGGTGTAGGGGAGCAGGACCTATTTTTCGTAACCTACGTAGTTTTTTGTAATAAAAACACCACCTATATGCCCTTATTCCCTCGTAGCAAACCCTTTTGTCATCCGCTTTTGTCATGTTTTCATTCTATTTTGTCTTTTTATAGAGTTAAACTTCAACATCACTGACCTTTCCGGGGAGTTCACAAGTCCTGGGTTCCCGCACTACATGCTTCAGGCTCACTACGTGTGGACGTTCAGACCTTCACTACCGAATGCAAATATTGCTATCTTCTTTGAAGTTCTTGATTTGTATCGTTCTTATTATAACGGGTGAGAACGAAACTGATCTCGCTAGAGCGGTGTGTAACAGATTAACCGGGTGCTGGGTCTGTGTTTTCTTACTGAGTATGAATGGAAAATAAGTATGATTATAAGAATTTAGGAGTAATACGCCATATTTCATTTAAGTCAATGGGAAAATGGTTTTTATTATGAATTATGCTCTTTTTGCATTTATATTTAGGCAAAGTTACGTTAACGTAAAAGATTCATCAGGCCATCAACTGTTCTATCTCAGTTACACAAGAGCCTCTCCTCTAGGTCTCATTATTCAGAATCATAAAACAGGACAAATGACATTCTATAGCCCCTTTACCACTTCATATGGCAAAGGCATTCGTGTGCGATACCTTGTCTTTGATCGATCTTTGAATGACGGTAAGGCAATTTCTTTTTTTGCGCGTGCATGATATTTTTTTCCAGGTGCCGTAATATCATGTAACTATTAAGCCTTTTTTACTTTCAGCCCTTACACAAAATGCTTTCATCTTGGCATCAAGTACCAGTCCCCACAGCATCAGTGTGTCTATCGGTTCTTTCACTGTCGATGGCTTCAAAGTCCTTGGATATCTCATCACCTGTAATTCAACAGATGACTGGCATCGTATTATATCTTACGCTATTGCTGGTAATATGACAAAAAATGCTTCATGTCATCGTCTGGTGGGTTTGACAAACTACAAAGTACAGGTGTTTGCAGTTGTTGCTAACATTACTGATGGTAGTATGATGATGTACAAGAGCAACCCAGTTGAGATAAAAACCTTGGAAGGAGGTAAGACAAGCTTTTATTATTTTCATTCAATAATTTCAATAAACGAAGCGAGTTTACTTGCACTAACTATCAATGGTGTTTTAGTTTTCTTTTGTAGCATTGAGAACTTCAAATTGCAGCATAGCATCCTGTCTCGCATCTATTAAACAACTTCAAAGAATGATTACAACAGACCGTTTTCTCAAGGTTGCGTACACGCATCCAACTTGACGGGCCACAAAATTGAAAAACGCAAATTCAGTAAGATTAAGAAGCCAGTCTTATATTTAAAGATGAGAATAATCGATTTTATGGATTCTTATCCATAAAAAATTCATAGGAATGTATGATAATTCTCATTATAAAGCTCCTGTTCTGATATCGCGGCCCGTCAAGTTCCTTAAATTTGGATGCGCACGCAACCTTGAGAAAACGGTCTAT